GTACAGCTATTGAGAAGCTGCATTTCAAGTCACTCTGATGACCATCATGCATCACACAAGAATTTCATTGTGAAGTCATTATGCAGACAAACCATATCTATGCAAGTTCAAAATGGCAAAACTAAATAAACAAACCACAAATACTGTTTTGCTATTCTCATAAATACTGTATTTTACAAGCCACACATCATTCTTCATGCTAACCCCTAAAAATATCAGGCTTCTATCATCTTGTTAACCACCCTGAATACACTAAACAAGGCACAGACCCCTAAAGAATCAACAAATAAATGCAATCATCTTGGTTTGCAAGAGAGATGCTAGGAGATCTTCCTACCAACAGGGACAGAAACAGAAGTGCTGTAAGGTGGTTTAAGTTTTCACTTGCTTCCTGGGGACTGTGGCTCGTACGCACAGCAATACTAATTGCTTTAACAAGTAGATTCTGTATAGTAAAATTGAATTTGTTTTGCTTCAGCAACTTCCACAGAGCAAAAATGACATTTTCTGGAGGCTGAGGTTTTGTGTTACATTTCAGTGGTGTTCACAATTCTTTCAGTGCTCGAAGTATGATTAGATTTGATAGTTCCCTTCTTAAAATTCATTAAAGCTGCAAATCCTGAATGACTGCAAGGGAGTTCAGAACTCACCTCCAAGGGAATTTCATTAGGTTTGGCACAGTCAAGAGTACAAAAGCCCAACCTACATCTGTAATTATATTGTAAGCATAAGAAACAAACATTTAAAAGCAGACCCAGTTCAAAGGATTTATCATCAGCTGAAAGCCATATACTATGACATGGTATATTAAAATATCAGGAGAAATTCTATGTTGCTGAAGTGAATTAATACACACATACAAGATTCTTCTTGACACTTGGATTACTAAGAAAATATGGTCATAAAACTATGTTACAGATCTCTACCATGTATTATTAAAGGCTTCCACAGTGATGGGTCTTACGGTATTTGTACTTAGTACTTCAGATTTCTAAGCAAGCAAAACTTAAGTAATAAAAATTGCAAAATAACAAAGTAAAACACTTTGGTAATTCCACAAATGGAAGCTCAGCATAGGGAAGAAAAAAGAAAGTAAATCCCAGCTTTTCCTATATCATCTCTCAAGCATAATTTATTTTTTTTTCAATAGTATTTCAAAGAACCTGCAAGACTAAGAGACTTGGAAGCCAGTAACATAAAAGAAAACACAACACAATGTTTCACATCATAAAATTAACCACCACTTAATGAGAGTTAAAGGTTGCAGTTTAAGGTAGAAAATACTTCACAGATATCTCCTATGCATCTTAATAATACCTGAAATACCTGGTATAGACTGGAGCAGCCTGATGTTTTTCAAAAGCAAGTAAAAGCTACAAAACCTATGAAAACTTAATATTGTTTTTCTTCATTTAAAAAAATTCTGTAATTGAAAAAAATATATTTTTCTTTACACTAGCTCTGCAACGCAATCAAACCTGCAACTCCTTTTTTAGTCTACATTTAACATTATTTCCTCTAATTAGATGCTCCAGCATAGTCTTGATATTGGAAGATAACTCTTCCCTTAAGATCCAGCTGACTCTTATTTCTAATAATTTCAGACCAGAGTTCATTATAAAATCTGTCAAACACAGTAACTCAGTTCAAAATGTGTATTTCCAAGGGCTTTCAGACATGCCAAGAGGTTTTAACATTCCATGCTCACTTAAATGTGCAAGATATGTGGATCAACAGCAAAAGGGCTAAACACTCTAAAGGAAAGTAATTTTCATTGTTAGTGCTTTCTAAGTTACATTCTTACTAGAGAAATCATAAAAAGCATAGTGAAATTGAAGAAATTGAAAAGGTTAGACACAAGTTCAATAAATTGCATAAACAAATTGCTTGACAGGCAAACATGAGAAATGTTAAGAACTTTTCAATTGAACTGGTATTACATTTAAGAACTTTAGGTCTATTTAAGACATTTGTTTTTATTAGGTTTATCCATTAATGCAGTGGTTATAAAAAAAAGTCACAGCTCAAGAACTGGCCAGCCTAGACTATCAAGTTCAAAAGATACAGGGCTACTGCCCACAGAACAGGTATGTACAGTGTTTCCCATGAAAAACATGGACAAGTAAGAGAGTATATCATGTCAATCAACAGCC